GAAAGTTCCTAACAGTGAGGACAATTAACCAGTGGAATAGCTTACCTCCAGAAATTGTGGGCACTCCATCACTGGAGGATTTTAAGAGGAAACTGGACAGCCACTTGTCTGAGATGGTACAGGTTCTCCTGCTTGAGCAGGGGGCTGGACTAGAAGACCTCCAAGGTCCCTTCTAGCTCTATTCTATTCTATCTCTACTTGCCAGTAGCCAACAGGTAGAACAGCAGACCAGAAAGCCAGAATCTAAACATGAATCCATTCCCACAACAAGCTGGCTCTCCCTTGTTAACAGAGAAGCATAGAAACCTGAGTAAAATAAACCAATTCATATCCTGCTCAGTCCTGAGGGAATAGGAGTCGGGGCTAACTTCCCATTAGAGGTATCTTCTCCCACTCCACTTTCTTAAAATGCCAGAAGAGGGACTGAAAACATTTATAGGCTAGCTGGACTCAGAACGCCAATTGTGTGTGTGTGCCCTGTGTGTGTATAAAGCCTTCAAGTCAGCTTGGGTTCCTGGGGACTGCCTGGTCGAGTCACCACAGCTTTCCTGACAAAATGTTGCCGCCTTCCCGGGGCTAGGAGGCACAGAGCCATGGGAAATTTGGCCTTGTAGACCCACAACCTTTCTGACTCTACAAAATCTCACACCGCTGTAAGGTCCCAGTCCCTTACCTGAACCTGAGATACCGTATCAATCTAATCAGATAACCCAAGCGGAGACTTCTTGATCAAGCAGCACTTTATTTGATCCAATTAAGCAGCTGGGTGGCCAACAATCTGGAACGCTGGCAGAGTTACGTCCAGAAGTGCCACGCATTAGAAAGTTGGTAGCATTGCTTTATAAACTTTGTTAGCCAATGAAAATCAGACAACAGAGCCATTACATCATAAGAAAGACATCAATCATTCCTGTACACTCCCTTGTTTCCTCCTTCAGTATATCGCATCCATATACATATTTCCCAAGCTTGCATGAAATTTCTCTGGTGCAAAAGCTGATTACAAAAAGCAAGAAAGCAACAGTTAGACTAAACAATTTCCCTTTGTCCCAGAACCCTTCATTGCTATACCAGTGGAGTCACCTTTGCCCATTTTGCCACCTCCATGAAAAAATTCCCAGTCTCATGCAGAGCAGAAGACAGCCTATGGCAAACCCAGAACACTTTCATTGGGATCCCTAAATAAAGCAGAGCATTAGACAAAACGGTTTTTCCCAGTCCTGAGATTCCAAGTCTTGTTGTTGATTAAAAGCTCATTAGCAAGAAAGCTGCTGCCACAAGCCATCCCAACGGTATCCCAGATCAACTTCAGTAGAGCCCCATGATTTGATACTAAAGGTTTTCCATTTTCTCTGAGTTTGTTTCTAAAGAATCATTTTAATTATTTTTTTTCCTTTTGTGTAGGTGTATTTATTTATTTGAAGGATCATTATGGTTGTCCAACTCAGACAACATGACTCAGTGCAGCATACAAAAAAATAATGAAACACACAAAAAAACAGCAGATGCTGCTCAAACCCAAGACCATAAAGTCAACATATGCTATCATTGTATACTGGGAACTCTGCTCATCCTGACTCAGGCACCCAGGCTGGCAAATGTTTCTGCATCTGAAATGATGCTTAACTTAAACCACAGCTTCATAAATAGAAAGGCATGATATAAATAAAATATTACGTATACTCTTGTTCTCACCACCACCTTTACCCCTCTCCAGGAACAACAAACACAGGTTCCGTAAGGAGAGATGCCACTCTAAGCTTGATAGTCTTCCTGAATTCACAAGTCTTGGTCCTTCAAGGAGAGTCACTCTTTCTTGGGCCTTGCCACATTAATCTTGCTTTATTTTGTTTCTGTGACCTCTGCAGTAATGAGAACCAAGCAGTTATTGGAGTTTGCTGACATTCACATATTTTGTTGTATTTTAAAAGTGTTGCCAGCATCTGCATGTACCACAAATTAAATTAGGTTTGAATTTTATTGCCTCTTTTATTTAATTTATCTTAGCTGTTGCATTCAAGCTGTGAACCAGCTGTTGTCTGTGAAAAAAAGAATGTTAATTTGAAGGGAACAATTTAAGGCTTTCTACCATGGATGCTAAATAATCACTCTGGAAATTATATCTACTGCGCCTTCGTGACTGTTGCATTGTCTACTCTAGACTCTAGAGCTGGCCAGGGCCTGACCTAGTAACCTACTCAGTCTTGGGGAAGATACCACACAGTCAGATGCCACTTCTCAGAGCAGCTCTTTCCAACCACTGATGTCTCTGTTCTTATTAAGCAGAGAATACCAAAACCTTCACTTCCATGGCGCACAGAACGCAGCCAAGGGAGACTCCTGAAGGCAGAGACCCTCAAGGGATCAAACAACATTCTGGGGAATGCAGGTCTGTTCTTTAAATTAGCTCCCACTAGACTCATCTCCTTCAGACACAGTGCACAGCAATTCCCACCATCGTCCACTTATCTTTCTCAGCCACCTCACTTTGTCCCAGAGTATTTGGAAATCTGACCTTCCAACCTGGGACAAGATGGAGAGGGGACACTTTTTCATAAAAGGATTGAGGATTCACAAAGCAACATGAACGCTTGTTCAAAAAGACCGGGGTTAAGTAAATACAGAACACTGACTCCTGCTTTGTGGCCTGTTCTGTCTAGAAGCTTTAATCATGCCCATGCGTGCACTTAGATCTTGAAGACTGCTTTGCAAGCTGGTTTTTCTTGGAGTAGAAAAGCAAGGCTAAGAAGGGCGAGCATGGCCATCAGTCACACTAAACAGAGCCATTCCAGAGGGATAGCCACAATCGTTCCTTTTAGGCCTTGCTTTTCCACTAAGAAAGCCTTTTAAATTTTTGCTAAGATTGTGGTAGATTTTTTTTGTCTCCCAAGGTATGCACATGCACAGACACAATTAGTAGCCAGATGTGTGATCCTTTGTGTCTGCGTGGCAAGGGTTGGAGCAGAGGAAATAAGCTGTTGTGTCTGAAAATCACCAAGAGTATCTCTGAATAAATGGGTATTGACAGGTATGGAGGTTGGCTATACGAATCCTCATATATCTGGAAGGGTATTCAGGGCTCCAAAAGTAATCAAAACCTATTGGAGCAGGGTGAAAGCAAGGGGTGGCTTCTGGATAGCCACTGAGCAGAATGAACAGGATCCCAGCACTGAACCCACCTCTCATGGGTGGGAGAGCCAGCCCCGGGCACTGCCTTCAAAGTGGCCAGAAAGACCGGTCAACTCAAGCCTACCATTTTTTGAAAGTTTGCCATGCTTGCTGCCCAACTTAAAAAGTGCCAGACCTTGGTTAACTGGCCAACTTCAACATTCAGAGGCCTGTGAGTGTTGCTGCAGGCCTAAATTTTACAGGAATGAAATGGAAGTTTGCACTGGAAGAAATACTGTTCTAGATAAAATTTAACATTGTACAAACACTAGAAGTCCAGATTCTTCCATAAAACCACTCCAGTACCACAAACACGAATTATATGTAGGACTATACTGTTGTTTGTCTGATCCAAATTATGAGAAGTTGAAAGAAATCCAGGAGGTTGCAATTAGCCTTGCAGACTGGGCATTTATCAAACTGTTTTGATTCTCAGAGGGGAATTCTTCAGAGCTTCTTGGATGGGAAAGGGGGCCACCAAGTTACCTAAACTGCACATGCTTCCCCTCAGAGGAGCCTATTTAGGGCAGTTGCTTCTTCTCTCAGCAGCACCTTTACCTGGGCAGAGCAGGTAAAGCAGAGGAACCTCCAGATATTCTGAACCTTTTGAGCAGCTCAGGGACATCGCAGCTTCAGCCCCATTTCTGGACCCCCTTAACTGACCATGCCTTGAAGCAACCAGGGCAGAGGCAGCTTTAAGATAACCCCCAGCAGTTAACATGGGGCAAATCAAGGCCAACCATAACACTGCAACACTGAGGGGGGCAGGGAGGTGTCTGCTAGCAACACCCAGCAGTAGCTTGGGCTCCCCTAGGGCAGGGCTGTCCCAGAAAGCTTGCGTCCTTTTACCTGGTGTGCAGGCCCAATGACCCCCCACCACGTAGGCGGAAAGGAAACTTTTACTTGCAAATAAAGCGGTTACTGGGAAGCAAGTCCCAAAGGGGCAGACACCCCCGCGCTTGGAGTGGACCCCCCATATATACCAGTTGGGAAAGCGACCGTTGCCATGAGCCAGTCAGGCAAACTCCCAACCTTACAAGCCAATCATCGGGAGCGGCAGCAGCGGCGGCCAAAAGTGACAAGGTAAGCAAGACTTTTGTTTCACAATTAATTTAACTCCGAGCTCTCCGCGGCGCCTTCGGAACGGCCTTCCCGAGCAAGAAAAGAGGCGGCAGAGAGCAGGTGGCTCCGCAGGGCCTCCTTTCTCTTCCCGGAGCTCCACGCAAGAGGTGCCAGGAGCTGCGGCTATTTCGGTCGGCTGCACAATCATAATACCGTAATAGATTCGAATAGTTTTTCTCAACCTTGGCAATGGGCGGACTTCAACTCCCAGAATTCCCAAACCGACATAGCAGAATTCTGGGAGTTGAAGTCCACACATCTTTAAGTCGCCACGGTTGAGAAAAACTTGAACGGGCTGCCCCGAGAAAAGGGCCCCAGCCTCTCGCCTCCCGAGGGGCCCCGAGAGCCGCCGCCGCCGCCGGCGCCCGCCGAGAGTTCCCGGACGGGACGGCGAGCCGGAAATTCAACCCGCTGCTGCGTGGGGCGGGGCACCGGCTGAACTCGCCCACGGGGGGCGGGGCTTGGGCCTGCAGTTTGCCGAAAGCTCCTCCCCTGCCACTTCGCGGCAGCGCCATTAGGGCCGCTCAGCCCCGCCCACGCAGCAACTCATTAGAGGCAGCTCGCCCCCTAGCGTCCTGCTGGGTAACGCCGCGCACGAGCAGCGGGGGGTGAAGCGAGCGTCTGCGCAGGCGCGGAGCTCCCGCGGCGCCTCGGAGTGACGCGATGTGGGCGCCGTTCCCGGCCAGAGGATCCCGGGCCGGCGGGCGGCCATGAGCGGGGCGCCGACTGAGGGGGCGGCCTGGGCGGCGCTGGAGCCGGCGGAGGTGCTGCGCGCCGCGCGGGCCGGGCCGGGCCTGGACGCGGGCGAGGTGGGCGTGGGCCCGGCGGCGCTGCTGAGCGAGACGGCGGCGCTGCTGGGCCAGGCCGAGGCGCCGGGCGGGTGGCCGGCGGCGGCGCGGGAGGCCTGCCTGCGGGCGGCCGAGCGGCTGGGCGACTGGGCGTGGGAGCNGGGGCCCTGCGCCGAGGCCCTGCGCGTCTGCGACCTGGGGCTGCTGCTCGGCGCGCCCGGCCCCGAGCTGGCCCGCCTGGCCGCGCTGCTGCAGCGCCTGCTGCCCGCCCCGGAGGGCCCGCCCTGCAAGGTAGGACGGCGGGGCGGGCGAGGCCCGTGGGGGAGGGGAGATCGCCCTCTGACCCTTCCCCAACCCCCGCAGAAGCCGCGCCCGGAGCGCCCCCCGGCCCAGGGAGAGGCGGCGGCGGCGGAGGGCGGCCCGGTGGCCCGGCTGCGGCGCCCGTCTCTGCAGCGCTTCCGCGAGCGCTTCCTCCTGCCCGGGGCGCCGCTGGTGCTGGAGGGCGTCGTGGATCACTGGCCCTGCCTGCGCAAGTGGAGGTGAGGGTCCCGCCGGTCGCCTAGGCTGCTCCGCGTTCCCTCTGCCCGGGCAGCCTGGACACGATCCCCAGCGGGGAAAAGATCTGCCACGGGGTAGAGGAAGGGGGGCGGGGTGAAATCTCTCGCTCAAACCTTTGGCTTTTCCTGCGGCAGCGTGGATTACCTCCTGCAGTTGGCCGGCCACCGCACCGTCCCCGTGGAGCTGGGTGCTCGCTACACCGACCAGGATTGGTCCCAAAACCTCATGACAGTCGGGGAATTCATCAGCCAGTTCATCAAGCAGGAGGTCCGAGCTCTTTGTTCAGTGAAGTCCCAGGGACAGGGGAATGAATCAGTGTTGCTAACCTAATGGGGAAGTCTCCCTGGCAATATTTTGTGATCGAAAGGTATGGTAGCAGCGGTTTTAGTAATCTTAGTGTGGGCTCAATTGCAAGATTTTGAGTTAGAGAGAGCACCTCTTCATGGAAAATGGGAGGGCAGCGCTGTGGTCTAGCTCAGTCTTTACAGGGACAAAGACTGTTTTTGTCTCCTTTGCTGTTCTACATGACTCAGTTTATTTCTTCTGCCTCTTCATTCCAGAATCCCAATGGATACCTTGCTCAGCATCAGCTTTTCGACCAGGTACATGCGGAAATTACTGCAGATCCTAGAAAACAGAGGTTCTCTTTGCCCTGAATCACACTCCAAAGTGTGTTCTCAGGGGCAAAAGGACTCATGCCCCCTCCAGCTACCCTTCACAGAGAGAGGTCTGTTGATAAAAAAAAGATGTCAGACACCTAACCCTCCCCCACCTCCAATTTATTTATGAAAAATATGGCTGCCCAACTGAGTCTCAGTGACTGTGGACAGCTTACAAGGATAAAAGCCCAATACAAAAACCACAAATGCAATAAATCTCTCCGTCTCCTGGCAACAAAAGTCAGATAAGCCACTTGATGGGCTCCATCCCACTTGGGTCCCCTGCCCATTGGCAAAACCAGGTCTTCAGGGCCTTGCAAGAGTGTCAAAGTGGGGGCCAATCTGTCTCCATGGGGATGATGTTCCATAGGGAGGGAGCCACCACAGAGAAGGCCCTTCTTGGTCCTACTAGATCAGGGGTAGGCAACCTTGGCTCTTTTATGACTCGTGGACTTCAACTCCCAGAATTCCTGAGCCAGCTTGGCTCTTTTATGACTCGTGGACTTCAACTCCCAGAATTCCTGAGTCAGAGTCATAAAAGACCCAAGGTTGCCTACCCCTGTACTAGATGAACCTCCTGAGGAGGGGGACCCGCAGCATTCCCTGCCTCCCTGCCGTGGTGGGTTGGCTAATTGTGACTGGGGAAGGCAGTCCTTCAGATAAAGGCAACAACCAGCACTTTGAATTGGACTTGGAAGCAAATCAACATATATTAAGCCTTACTGGGGAAGATCTTGTCCCTTGTAGACCAGCCATCTTATGTCATGCTGCTGCAGTACCTCTCTTCACCCTGGAGCTCTTTGGATGTTTTGTTTCATGACTCTGGATGCAGCTCATCCATCATCATGCTGGCCTGGGTTGAGTTATGCCCCAAAACACTCTGCCGGGGAAGGTTGCTGCTGCTGCTGCTGCCGCCCCTTGTTGCAGAGAGGAGTTGAAAGTAGGGCCCAGAGATTCCATAGCAAAAGCCCATTACCCAGTCCAGTGGTAAAGCTGCCATTGGTATTGTTGCATAGGGAGTATTGGATTGATGCTTCTTGCTATGGAAATATATTTGTATAAGATAGCCATGCTTGGTTTAAATGGCATTGAACTGAGTGTATGGCTACATCCAGTATTTCAATTTTTTTTAGCAAGCTTGCCCTGACTCCCTTTTTCTTACTCTTACTGAAGAGGCACCCTGAGCAAGGAGGAGAAGGGATCAGTCAGCGTTAGAGACAGAGCATGGTGGATCCCAAGGCAGAAATAATTTTGTCTATGGATTGTTGCAGAGCACCATACAATGTTGGGCTGAACATCTTTTGGGCAACATCCCACAAACTAGCTGGGGGGGGGGGGAGTGTCAGACTGTGGAGCCCAAATTTGGTTGTCGGTCTCTGAGATATGCAAGCCAAAGGAGTATAGTATACAGCGTGTACGAGAGGCAAGTGTCCTGTCCAGATGGAGGGAAAGCAACTGCTGCCAGCTCCAACTGCTGGAGCAAATGGGGTTGATCCAGCAAACAAAAGTGCTAGCCTAGTGCCTCCTAACATTGCTGGAGAAGAGTTACAAGTTTACATACATAATATACAGCTGATGTCATATGCTGATGAAAGGCTTGTGTCATCTTGGCTTTTACTTCTGACGGGATATCGCCAGATCCCAGAGCTGAAGGAAGACATTGGCATCCCGGACTATTGTTGCCTGGGCAAAAACGAGGAAGAGGAGATCACCATCAATGCCTGGTTTGGTCCATCCGGGACCATCTCACCTCTTCACCAGGATCCACAACACAATTTCTTGGTCCAGGTTTGTTTACCTCCTTCAGAGATTTTTGCCAGGGAAGAAGCGATGCTGACCCCTTGTCATTTTTCACGTAATATTTTGGGCAATAGCTTGCTCTGGACCATCTTTACCCAAATGCATTTCCCACAGCCTCAATTGGACCAAAGTATTGATGGGGCACTCAAGATATCTGCTGGGTATTCCAAGTGCCTTCATAGCAGGTTGCTACTTTCGCCCTGTGAATTAGTAGAAGAAAGGATCCTGTCAGTGGCTTTCCTTCTACTCTTGGGATATGAAGAAACCTGGGGCCATCCCTGCAAGGGCCTAGTCTGGAATATCTGAATGAGAGAAGGGCAGGTAGGTGATCAAAGTACATTTCCCCATCACGACAGGCAATTATCTTTTTGTGTTCCCATTTTCAGGTGATGGGACGCAAATATATCCGCCTGTTCTCTCCTGATCAGTCTGAAAAACTGTATCCACATGAAGGCCACCTTCTTCACAACACCAGCCAGGTGGGCGACTTATGAAACAATGGCCACTAGTTGTCACTGTGATTTTTAAAGCTGGTAGCCCCAAAAGGCTTTGCCACAGGGGCATAGGGACAGACATTCCTTCCCCGCCTTCTGAGGGTGTGAGGAGGGTATTCTTGAGCTTCTTGAAGTGTCTAGTCTAAAAAACGCATTTCTTCTTCAGATCGATGTGGAAGACCCTGACTTAGTGACGTTTCCTAAGTTCAAGGCAGCTGCATTTCAAGACTGTGTCTTGAGCCCTGGAGAGGTCCTGTTCATCCCGGCCAGTTACTGGCATTATGTTCGAGCCCTGGACACCAGCTTCTCTGTGAGCTTCTGGTGGTCCTAATGTATGCTGAGGACAGAACAGCCGTTTCAAGAGGAACCAAGGCGGCCATGTTAGAAGGCCATGGCTGATCCAAGACAAGCACACCCACAAGCAGAATAAACTAGTCTTCTAAGGCCTTCTATTTCCAAATGCACTGGAATAACACACTTTGCAATACTCAGTTCCAAGTTTATTTTGTCAGTAAAAAATATGTCACTTGCAGCTACCAACATTAAGGCAAGTCATCCCGCAGAGTCCCAAAGGGATCGGTTCTTGGGCGAAATATGCAAGGAAATTAAAATTCCCTAATGGATCTACAGCCTACTCAAGTCCCACCAGTTCAGAGAGGGTGAGTGATGCCAACATCAAAACATCTTTAGGAAGAGGCAGGGATGGCCCACGGGGTGAGTGGAGTATCCTGGCTTTAAGTGGAATAGCACCCCTTTATAAAATAAAGGAGAAATGTTAAGGATAATGCTCCATAGGCAGTAAATAAGTGGCAGGCCAATTGCCCAATCACCATTCAAAGCAAAAAAGGCAAAATGGCTGCCAATAAAAATGGCAGCACAAGCCCTTGCAGTTTCAGATGCCCCCAGAGAAAGAACCTGCTCCTCCGTCTCATCCGAAAGGCGGTGGCTGTTACTGTTGCTGCCTGGAGCCCATCCTGGAGGCCTTCCTGCTCTCTCTCCTGGCACTTGAGGGCAAGTGGCTGGGAGGTTGGAAGTCTGCATTGCAAAGGAGAAAATGCAGGATGAGCTGAAGAAGGAAGATAAGCCAGAGTGTTGGCTCACATCCCAAAGCCAGCACTTTTATGGTGATGGCAGGACGCCTCGATTCACTGAAAGGCTTTGGCTCCAAGGTCCCTGGTCAGGCTACTTTTCCACGTTTAAAATGTTACTACTGTTTTCATTTGGTCCTCCCCTCTAAAAAGCCTCCGTCTGAATGAGGCTGCATTTTCCAGCACAATGTCTCACAGTACTTATAAAATGAAAGAAAGGCCAAATCAACCATATTGATCAGATGCTGCGGCCAGATTGCCCTCATCTCTATATGAAAAACATGTATCCACAGGCAGACAGGCCACCCTGAAGTTTTTACCTGGAATCTTGTGAGGCCAAAACTGTTTGCAGTGAGGACAACGTGGCTCTGGTTGCGCTTGGAAGTACTTGGAAAGGCAAGAGCAATGGAGCACTATTCCACAATCCTCACACACTTGACTCTGAAATGGAAGCAGTCCCGTTACGTTGAATCACGTGTACAGATCAAGGAGATGCCCAGGCCTCTGAGTAAATAACTTTGTCCCTTAAGGTTCTTCAGAGGTTTTGATGGGTTGGGACAAAATGATGCTGCCAGGATCTTAAGGCCCTCGTCTCCCTCCAAGGGAAGCAAAGCTGTAGCAGCTCTCCATAGACTGACTTGGCTGGGCTTGTCCTCTGTTCTATCGCTACCAGCCGCCCTACAGGACAGGCTAGAAATGCATTCCGTGGTTTGTAAGTATTGTAAAAGCCTTGTGCGTTAGAGTGACATGTCACTCGGGCCTCCAGAACAGACTCTTACAAGAAGGAGGACCCTCCAACTTTTGCTGAGCTGGGAGCCCTGCTTCCAGAGAGGCTGCTTCTGAATTAATCCAAGGAAAAGTTGCTAAATGGGCAGGAATTCACCCAAGGGATTGACCAGTTTAATGTGGAGGGTTTGGGGTTTCTTTTTGCAACTTGGCCTATTAACCTACTTACAGATAGAAACTGCAGGACAGCAGCTGTGTTAGTCTGCGGTAGACAAACATCAGGAGCCTGGTAGCCCTCTTTTCTACTAACAGATTTTATTACAAGGTATGACTGAGATGCAGCTGATGAAAGTTCATTAATTACCAAACTACTACTGGTTTTTTACAGCTGGTCCACGTCTCTGGCACCTGCAACAAGATGGGCTGGTAAAGTTACCTGAACAGAAAGGCTGTGGCAGATGTGGCATTTCCGGGCAGACTCCGGGTAATGGCGAAAGATGTACTGCTCCAGTTCAAGGATGCTGCGGATGTGCAGGGTGTACTCCCCTTCTTTCTGCAAAACAACTAAGCTGTCAATCACCCTTGGAGCCCACCATCCCCGCCTCCCCCCTGGGCAGGAGACGTGGTTATGTGCCTGTCGCCTCTGAGGCCCTTGCCCACCTCACACAGCCACTTCTTCTGCACCAGCTGTTGAAGCACTTGCTCCACCTCCATCTTCTTCATTTTCTTTGGCTTCAACTGGTCAGCCAAGTTCAAGATCTCGGTGGATGATGCAAAGCCATTCCCAGACAACAGGATCAGGTCCAGCTGCAGAAACAAAGGGCCTATGAAACTATTTCCCCGGGCAGACATGGAGTGCCCCATAGCTTCCAGTCAGGGATTGTGTGACCTGAAGGGTTATTTCTCTCCTCCCTTGCCCCAACAGAACCTAAGAGGCAGAACGCCTTCACTTTCAAGACTCCTACAATATGGGAGCTTCCATTGCATCACTGGTCCCCATACGGCCACACCAATGTTCAGGGACGTGCTCTTGTGGCATCCCTTCCTCAAATGGACCAAGTCTAAGGACTGCCCTCCCCAAAGGACATTTCTGCTCAGACCTACAGAATGTCCTCCAATTGCTTTGCAGCCTCATCCAATGGAGATGATTTGTATCGGTAGGAACTAAAACTATCATCCACAAAAGGTTAATGTGTTTTTCTTGGAATAGATAAATAATGGCTACAGCCCTGGAAAATTAGTACTGTATTTTTGTTTTCATCTCTGCAGACCATCTTACACATCATACATGGATCAAAAAAGAAGAGAAAAAAATAGCTGTACCCTAAAATTAGTGATATGCTTCAAGAAAAAACAAGGATAACAGAATTTCAGGTCAGGAATACATCCTGCAGAACCACCTCCACTTCATCAGCCCATTCCAGAAAAGTTTTTGTGATTGGTCATCTCCAACCATTTGTATTATTCCAACAAAAGAGAATCTCTGTAGCTCAGAGTTTAACTATGGGGTCCTTGGTGCTCTCTGAGCTGGATTGTTTGCTTGCGGACGTTTCCTTACCCAACTAGGGAACATCATCAATGCAATCTACTACCACCTATCCTTCCTTTCCCTACCATCCCAACTGATGAAGCTTCCTGGATGAGAAGTGAAATGTCTTCCTCAAGGAAAAAACAGCTCAGTCCCATTTTTGAAAAAGCACCTTTGAGACAACTATGACCCGGATGACTGAGAATCTCCATATATATCATCAGTGCAACCAACAACCAAGCTCAGAGACCACCCAGGAGTCCTCACATGCACTATTTAGATCACATTCAGGCCACTTCACAAGACAAAATACTAGAGATCCAGGAGTTGCTAAAACTAACAGGAGAAGATGTACAAGCCAGCACCTGCTCCTCTCCTCCTCGCTTTCCCAAAGAATTCTCTAGCAGAATTAATGGAGAGGAAGCAAACGGCACATTCTGGTTGAGGGGGGTCTAAAGCTGGACCACATCATGGGCGCCAGTGCCTTCAACTGCTCCAGCTCTAAAAGCCAATTCTCTGCCTAAGTTTGTTATAGGAAATCTATTATCTCGAACATTTAGCCACAAAAAACCTTTGCAAACGTTCCTCAGAATTCTGTTAGTTTCATCCCTCTATTCATTTGAGTGTAGGCTTCAGTAGTTTGTGAAACAGAGGAAAGGACACAAGGAACCCATAAATGGTCCAGAGGTTCACATGCCTCCAGCTTCTACCCCAAACTATTTCCTAAAATCTATCCTATGAACAATCACATGTGAGGGATTTAAGCCAGGCACCTCTCCAGCTCGTGTAAACTCAATAAAATGTAAAAGTTAAACAAATGGCGTTACTGCAGTGTCCAGAATTTATCTAATTCTATTTAGCAGAATCCCTCTACTTTCATCAGTAACTCCAATTCAAATCAATCACTGTTTCATTCTCAAAGTGCCTCAGATTGTGTGTTTCTGCTGCCTCTGCCATGAATCTATTATTATTATTATTATTATTATTATTATTATTATTCCAATTTGTATCCCGCCCTTCTCCCGAAGGACTCAGGGCGGCTCACAACATTATTAAAAACAAAGAGAGACCCACACACCCCACCGAATAAAACCAAATTAAAACCAATATTTTAGTGTTGTGATAATTAAAATTTCTAAAAAACCCAATTTAAAAATCCTC